CTCCCCAAAACCCCAAAACCCCAAAACCCCAAAACCCCAAAAATATCCTTTCAAGTTGAGATTTCCATTAATTTATGAACAAGATTATTTTAAAAGTCCCTTTCTCATATTTTGCTCATTCTTTATATTTAAGCAAGAAGCATTCTTTACCATAGTTGAGTCGTTCAGGAAGATTGTCATTATTAAAGAAATGATCGGCATTATTCCAAGAATATAGAATAAAGTACTGTATTCAAGAACTCCTTTAGTTTTCATTTTAGATAGTCCCCATCCAATCATGGGTGAAACAGCATAAGCAGAAAAGATTATGGTGTAGGTCTTACCTCCAGAGATAGGTCCATATATCTTAGCTCAAAGAGTCGGAGCTGTAGAGGCATACCCTCCCAGACTTGAGAAGGAGATGAACACCCAGATTAAGTACAGTATTTTTATCCTGTGGATTGATACAAATGTGAATGCTACTATTATTTCAAAAATCATAAGTAATGCAAAAATCTTTTTAAACCCAAAAAAATCTTGGAGTGTTGCCCAGAACCATCTGGAAAGTCCATTGGCGATAGCTCCGAGAGAACCTACAAGAGTGATGAACCTGTCGTCGTGAAGGTCAATCTGTTCAAAGGTTTTAAAGGACCCAGCTAGGTAAAGAGGGTAGCTCGAGGAGAAGATTAGCATTAGCCAGATATAATATACTCTGTACTCTTTGAATACTTCAGAAAGTTCAGGCTCAACTGTAATGCTAGCTCCTGGAATAGAAAGATGGCTATTGATTGTTTCATTTTGAAAGAAATCTTGTCTTGTATGTAACCGAGATGTTTTTGGTAAAGGCTGGACCAAAGCTGGATTGGTCTTTCTTGATACTAAAAACATTCCTGCAATGATGAATCATCACCAGATAGCTCAGATAATTCTCAACATTGCTGGAGCTCTTGAAGAAACAGGACTTTCAGGGTTGAATATATTTCCTCCAGGAATAGGATAATCAGCTTGCTCCTCATCTGGATTGGCTATGCCAATAGATATGAAGCTGAATATGAATGATCCGCATCCATATCCTGAAAGTATAATTCCACTGACTGTGCCTTTCCATTCTGGAAAGTATTCCCATCCTCACATTATAGGGATCATGTATCAAAATCCTGTGCCGATTCCAAAAAGAATTGGATATAAAAATATGAACAAATACAGATTAGTCGCATATGTTGATGCAAACACACCTCCCATTGAAATCACGCCTCCAATAAGAGATGTGCTCCATGGAGGTATGAAATCAATCAAAAATGTTGCTAAAGGTACTCATATCACTTTAAATGCATTTTGGAGGATGAAAACTGTGCTAGTATCATCTAGAGTAATGCTTGTATCGTACTTATAGAGATAAGAAGTGACATACACCTGGATGTTACCCCATAAGTAGAGTCAACCGAATACAATGTGCAAGATCAGTCCTCCTATGACTCATAAAATCCCTTTAGCTTTGTTCGAAGCCATTGTTACTAGAAAAATATAAAGCAAATACGGGGTTTTGGGGTTTTGGGGTTTTGGGGG